GGATACGTACTGGAGCTGTAGTGTATGAGACCCGATTATCTCCACGTGTGTCTGAAGCGAACACCGAGAAGAACAGAGTTTATTAGAAACAAAACAATAACTGAACAGAAATGAACAGAATGGTGTGAGAATAAAGGGGGTAGACGAGTAGAAGTCGTCCAGTTGAGGGGGTCCTTGAATAGGGCGAACGGCGGCTGCTGGAGTAGTCGTTGGGGAGGTGGAGGTTCCTGAAGAAGACTTCTGGCGGGCCCGATGCCCGCACCGCCGGAGACCAGAGGAAGACGACTTCTGAAGATGCATCTGCCTTTTATAGGGAACTTCTGGTCCTCTTGACCTCCGGCGGGAAACTTCCTTCGCGATCACTAGCGTGTGACCTTCTTATCATTCCATGACGCTGCTCTCCTGATCTCCACACTTTCTTTCTTCCGTTTCCGACAGATTTTGAGGGAAGCAGACAAAAATCTCCGAAGGACGGCAATAGACTAACCCAGTTCATCACCACAGGAGCATAAAAGCGTCAATCCATGTTACGAGAGATAACATCTTTGCTATCGAAGTGCTGTCTCTAATTCCACGATAACAGAAAACAGAATATTCCACGATAAGGTGGGAGGTCGGAAAAGGTGAAATACACCTAGTCGAAAGGCAGACCGACCCTTTAAGGGTGCGTGACGATGCGAATTCTGCAGCGAAAGGTATGCCCCAGCTGCCTACCGTGCCCATACTTGCGCCGCTCGCGCCGCTGCTCGTCCACCTCCTCGCTAACTGCCTCCAGTCCTTTCAAACGGCTCGCGTCCATGCGGAAATCAAGGGCGAAGAAGGAGTCCATTTTTGGGCTTGGGCCGTTTCTCATGGTTCATGGCTTCATCAGTGCACCACTGTCACCTCTACTTTGATTTATGATGGGCTTATTTTCATCGTAAACACGCCTTTAAGATGGGAACACATCGCAATTGCAGCTTAATCATTTCGGAAGCAAAGTATTGACTGATTTTCCTCACAGAAAATGGGTTGCTCACTCATTTTGTTACAAAACGTTTATCGGTTACTTCATGACCTATTGTTTAGAGTTCGCCGGCTCCATTCAATCCAAACGGTCGCGAACACGACTTAGAAACGATCGTCTCGTTGATTTCGTCCGCACGTCGCAGCGTTTGTGTGGCTGTTATGGATCTTATACCTCAGACGTTGTACATGGGACCCAATAACAGGTTTTGCTTTTCGAGTCTGATGTCCTGTATATGAAGAAAGGTTGAAGCATTCGGCCTGCATAAATTCCTGTTGAGATGCGCCACGCGATCTGCTTCATTCAAAATTTTAGTGGTGGCATTTGAGTGCAGTTCGCTCCATGCAACGACGTCTTTGTGCTTGCCTCAACATTTTTTTTACTCTCCCAATCAAATCTGGTACCAATAATTCAACACGGAGGGCTCCAACGCTTGGTTAGCCTGCACGGCGTATGGCCCAGGATTTGATCCCCGGACCATGCTCGTGATGAGCGGCGTCACTTCTGTTCAGATTCTTTGTAAGAACCGGATATTGAGCACTTTTTTATTTGCATAGTCAGTTTTTACCTATAGATAAAGTCAGTGGAACAGTAAATGGTAGGTTTCATGACGTGAAATTTTTGTTCAGCTACTGGCCCGATATTGACGATGCGCTCCGTTCGGCTGCTTTTCGAGGTGTAGCTGTGAGGCTTTTGGTCAGCCACTGGAATCACTCTCGCCCAGCCGAGCTAGCGTTTCTCAGAAGTCTAGTTGCAATTAACGATGGTTTGCCGGCGAAAACAGGACACAGCGGAAGCATCAGTGTGGTTCGTTCCTTGCACTTCTTTATAATATTTTTTGTTCATTTCGTCGTGGGCTAAGGATAAACGCGAATTTTGGCGGCTGGGGCACTTAGAAAGATCCTCCAGTGGTGGTGTCTTGGTCGGAACATTGTGGGTTTTTGCATAAGCGTTGAAGTATCAGCAGAAATAAGAGTATTGTTTGGAACCGAATTGTTTGTCACACTCTGCAAACTCTGGTTTAAAAAAATGAAGGATGAAGGATAAAGCTTTGCCGTTGATCAATCCCTTTTTGGGATGCGGCACGCATTCTACTTCCATTTGTACATTCGTAGTGGCGTTTGAATGCGATGTGGCCTATACAATGACTTGCGGGGCCAGCCGATGTACAAGTCAGTGTTTTTATCCTCCCAGACAAGTCTGGTACCAATTAACCGACCCCGGAGGGATGGAAGGCTTGGTTGGCCCGGGCGACTCACGACCCAGGATTTGATCCCCGGACCGCTCGCGTGGTGAGCGCGCCACTTGTCACTGACAATAACTTTCCGCCCTGAATAATAAAACAAAATAATTGTTGTAACACGTGAGTAGCTGGAGCTAAATTCGGGTGGTGGAGAAGCAGGTTCTGTTTCAAGTCCCCTTGCTGCTGATCACCTGAGGTTCTTTTTTAAACGAACAGCTTTTCGGGAATTAGTTCTGCCTCTCCTTATCGTCCCGATTTTCTGTTGAAAAACCTCTAATTCTTTCTTTAGAACTGTTCACATTGTAACCTATCCTCAGCGAAACAGCAAAAATACTCAATTCGCACGTGTAAATCACAACAAATACATGGTTACCGATCGAACAGCCTATGTTGGTAAGTCCGGTCAATCAATATCCTCACCATAAGTATGCTGAGTTTGAATAATCATACATGTCTGATGGGACATATTCGATACAGCGCTGGTGCTTTCCAAGCAGGCTTGTGATCGGTACCCCTGATATGCATAGATGTGCTGCCTCAATTGAAGCCGAACGTCTTGCTAGTGAGCCAGCGTTCATGTACGTTTCGGGAGAATTGGCAGACCGAAAAATAAATGGATTGGGGAGCAGGAGAAGCAGGAGGAGAAAAGCAAAGAAAAAGGAGTAGCAGGAGAAAAGGATAATGAAAAGTTCATGTGGGAAGATTAGATCCGCATTGAGTGGTATGGCTGGAGATTAAAAGATCAGAAGACCAAAATACTGAGGGGTTAACCTGAAAAGGTTAGATACGTGTGGATTTATCAAGCCGCGTTCATACTCCACGGAAAAATCAGGAGATCAGGCGATGATGAAAAAGGTGTGTATTGATTGGGAGATTAAGAGATCAAGAGATCAGTAAGGTAAAAATTTAGAAATACGCTAAAAATGCGCTAAAATGAATAGATGCGGTTCTACTAATCTCTTGATCTCCTATTGCTTAGTCTTCTAATTTTCCAAATCGTGGAGTATGAACGCGGCCTTACGTCTCCAAACGCTGACTGTAAGCCTAGTTCAACCCAGCTTGCCTTTACTGTGTTCGCATCGCAGAAGTACTTAAGACAGAGGATCGGGAAACCCGGGTCAATCTTCCGTTCGAAGTGTTCAAACGGTCACTTGCGATTTTTGGAGGGGGCGTAGGGGGTTTATCAGGGTCAACTATGTCTTGAAAAAGCTCGAACGGAGAAGGAATTCGGAGGGGTTGTGTTGAGAGGGAGGTCGTTCTTGACGAGGCTGAAAATTTTGGCGAAACCTCCAAAAAAAGGAGCTTGAAAAGGGCCAAGTTAGAGTTTTGAGGGGATGAGAGGGCACAGATGGAGCGTGTTGACGTCTCAAAATCAAATCTATAGAAGCAAGGATGGTTGTGAGGGTTGGTGATCGGGGTGGCGATGAAGTCGTATGGGTGAGCTACTCGTTGTTGTTGATGGGTGGTGTGGAGAAACTTGGAGGTGTAAATTCTAAATATGCGAGGGGCACTTGAACCTGTGCGGAAGGTTAAGAATGCTGTAATGGATGTAGGGATTGGCTCTTTAGCCCAAAAACAGTTCGTACACGAGTGCCAGCGAGCGATATAGTTATTATGGTGGAATTCAGCAATCCTCAGTTGGGTTGTTGTTTGTGTTGTTGTTTTGTTGGGGGTGCCATGGGTATTTGAAACCACATCAACGATGCAATAGATCTTTCTGATTGCAAATTCGGCGCCCTCCGTTGATTTTGCTTTGGAATTCATTGTAGTCGATATCTTTGGTTTTGTTAAATATTTGAAGCTGGTCAGAACTTTTTCAGGAACATCCAACTGGGCTGGTGACTATTTCATTTCGACGGCAGGTGTGGGTGTGGCCATGACCAGTGTCGGAGGAAAGGGTGTTGTTCAGCAGCTACAAGCTGTTTTCGATCGAGACTGGAACTCACCCTATGCAGCTGATCTTTGAAACACATGAATGGATATATCAATACCCTCGACCATTTGGCTGATTCTGACCTCCTCATGCTCGTTGTGAAAGGGACAAATTTGGGCTATACGTAGTATCCTATCCATGGGCACTTTTAAATTTACTTCATCTAAATTTTTTCTTGATCACAAAAAAATCTTACCTCTCCCGCTGCCTCAGACATGGTACTGGTTTCACGCGAGATCCCTACTCAAGACTGTCAGTTTCTTCGTCATTCAAAACTGACCCTGCAGATTCTTGATTCGGAATTATAAACCTCGGAAAACAGAATGAGGTTACTCTTAGTTCTAATCGTTCTCTCATTTTTTTTTACAAAGAAGGCTCACTTGGTTGGCCCGGCATCAACCGAGATCCTTACCTATACATACGATTCAAAACGTGTGTTCAAATCTACATTCGTTATCTTTGAATTGATTTCCTGGAAGATTTTATGAAGTGGGAAGGTGTAGCGATAGTGATCCTGACTCATAGACAAGAAAATGTGGAATCGACTGAATGCGAAACCGTATGTACTTTTGCGCTTCCCTGACATACAGCTATAAAGTTTTTTTAAAACATATCTCTGAGAAGAGCAAAAGTATGGACTCGTTTGGGAGTCCATCCCACGACCGCTTGCTTGAGGGTCAGTATCACTATCGCTGTTCCTTCCTGCTTCATGGTTTCTATCAGGAAATCGTTTCGTAGATGACGAATACAGATTGAACTCAGCTTTTCTGGGCATGTATGTAGGTATATATCTCATTTTGAATGCCGGACTGTCCAATTTACCTTTCGTTGTCAGTTCAAGTTACCTTGATCTCTCGGCCTTTTTCCTGAGGCGCTCTGATTTCATCTCGTGAATATTCCTTAACCTCGTAAATATTGTGGTGGTCCGACATTCTTTCCCGGAGGAGAAATTTGTTTCAAGGCAGCTATTGGATAGAGGAGAAGGTTGATAGCGGTGAAATAATTGAAGAAATGAAGCACTCTGCCTAAACAGACACTTTTTGTTGAAGCATGGCGGTTTCGC